AAGCTATTCAAATGAGGCAAGGGGTCAGGTTTCAGGGGGCTGATTCTATCTTCATGATGTCCACTGTCAGCAGGTTGAGTGACACCTGGGTAGGCCACACCCAAGGACACAGTAAGAGGAGGGGACACACACAAGGCACTTCCATGGAAGATTCTATCCTAAACAGGGCAAGGGGTTAATTACAAAGGAACAGGTGAGCATAGCTTCACCCATGGGGCTGTAGCAAGACACACCCATTTCTGTGACTGAGCACCTCAGCACCCAGCTGGGGAGTGTAACTCAGTCACCCATAAGCTTGGCCTCCCACAATCTCCTGCACCTTCTGGAGAGGGTCTGCCATGTGCCTGTTCTGCATGGACACCTCTTCCATCTCCCAATCCAGAGCTCTTCCAAGAATTGTTCCCCTGTTCTCAAGTCTGCTCCTCTTGGTACAAGCAGGTGCTGCCAGCCACACCAATACTGAGGACCTGGGCTTGTTTTACACATATAAATAGTAGTTTGAATAAAATCCATTCCAAATTTGCCAGGAATACACAAACCTGGAGGTTGCATTTTGTTCAGGACTCCACCAGGGCCATTCTCCATCCAGGAACCCCTGCTACTGCCGGCATCTGAGGAACAATGACAACTGCCCACTGGCCACACTGGCACTTAAGCTTGTGGGACATATGGCTGCAGGGTCTAGGCTGTCAGGTGTCAGCACCTGGTTGACCTGCACCTCCTTCTGCCACAGCAGTGTCTTCCCACCCCAGCCATCCTGTGGCCCCAGAGCAATTCCTTCAGCTCTGTCTGTGTGTTTGCCTGTCAGAGTACCCTTTATGTCATCACCCTTCCCACTCCACAGTTAGGGAAATACCCTATTTTCAATTACAGGATAGACAAGTTACTTCATTTATGGATTTCAACAGAGGGTAGCAGAGGGGCACTGCTCAGTTTTCACAGAAAGGCATGCTGGGAGCTGAGTCTGCAGCCCCACACTTTAGGACAGGGAGAGTATCTCCCAGCCCATCCTATGTCAGCACCTTAAGGGAGCTGGTGAGGCACAGGCTGTTAAGCACAATGTCATAGCAGTTCTCAATTCAGTGATGGCCTCCTCGTGACTTTTCCCTTAGTGTGTTGATCTGCCTGCCCCCTCCTCCACTTAGTTTATTTCAGTCCTTCCTAGAACACACAAGGTTCTGGGTTCTATCCCCAGAACCACACCACACCACACACACACACACACATACACACACACACACACAGGAACCTGTAAAACAGGGCCCCAGAGCACCCATCATGGTCAGCACAAATAAGCTCTACCAAAAAACAAACAGTAAGTCAAGCTCAGTGGAGTGTTTCTAGCTGATACTCATGGTGACACTCAGCACATGGGCCAGGCAGCCATTGATGGCCATGACAGGCACAACACATCAACCCTTGCACTGGTGTTGTCCCTGTGAGCACTGACCACACAGATTTCTCAAATCTGAGCCTGCTCAAGCCAAAAGCTGTGGAGAAGACTGTTCTACAAATGCCACCCCAGATACTGAATAACAGCTGCCTGCTCCTAGCCACTAATTTTATGTACATATTGATTTTTTTCTGATGGTGCTAACAATTGAGCCCAGGGTCTTGCACATATAGGGAGGTGCTCTACCACTGAGCTACGTCTCTAGCCTGATTTTTCTTTTTTGATACTGGGGATTTAACCAAGGGCGCTCTACTTTTGAGCTACACTCCAAGCAACCTTTTCTATTTTTATCTTGAGACAGGGTCAGCATTTCCCAGGTTGGCCTCAAACTTGCAGTCCTCCTGCCTCAGCCTCCCAAGCAGCTGGGACCACAGGCATGTGCCATGGCTGCTGGGACTATAGGCACGTACCATGGCACCAAGCTCACCACTGATTTTAGACAAGAGTGCAGAGTGTATGATAATCATGGTCCCCCAGACTAGCATAAGAAGTTGCTCTGGGATTCTGAGTGAGTCCATTGGTCTTAGAAACCCCATGTTTTCTCCCTGGCATGATGGACTGTTTTAATCTGCATTATGTGCTGAGTCAAGAAACACTAGAGGCAGATTATTTTCTGACGGAGGGGCTCTAACACCTCCTTACACAATGTTTTTGGAAGAAACTGACCTCCATAAGCCTCTTTTTTTTTGGAGGAGGGGGGGGTTACCAGGGATTGAACTCAGGGGCACTAGGTCATCAAGCCACATCCCAGCCCCATTTTGTATTTTATTTAGAGACAGGGTCTCACGGAATTGCTTAGTGCCTCGCTTTTTTGCTGAGGCTTGCTTTGAACTCACAATCCTCCTGCCTTAGCCTCTGAGCCTCTGGGATCAGGAGTGTGCCACCACACCCAGCTCCAATGAACCTCTTAAAGTCACTCCTTATCCTGGAGATCTTGGTGTGTCTTTGCACAGGTGAGAGTGGGATGTCACTTGACAGCCAGAGGAAGGTCCACTTCCTTTAGGCCAACCCTTTTCCTCTCCCCTGCAAAAGTCCACCAATTAACCCCATGCTGCTGCTGTTGCTTGTTGTGTTCCTCTCACCTCTAAGTTCATAAAGCATACCCAGAATAACAGGGTTCTGTGAACCTCCACATTTTCTAGGTCACTCCTTTAGTGAGGTCATCTCTGAGTCTGAGATAATGGACATGAGTAGTAAACACCACTCAGTTTCCTCAGTGTCAGCTTTCAGTTGCTATGACAAAATACCTGAAGTAAATATACTTAAATGAGGAATGAGGATATGGAGATTTTATATATATATATATATATATATATATGTGTGTGTGTGTGTGTGTGTGTGTGTGTGTGTGTGTGTGTGTAAAATAAAAACAGCACACAGGGGGCTGGGGATGTGGCTCAAGCGGTAGCGCGCTCGCCTGGCATGCGTGTGGCCCGGGTTCGATCCTCAGCACCACATACAAATGAAGATGTTGTGTCCGCCGAAAACCAAAAAATAAATATTAAAATTCTCTCTCTCTCTCTCTCCCCCTCCCTCACTCTCTCTTAAAAAAAAAAAAAAAAAAAAAAAAAAAAAAAAACAGCACACAGGTTCTTATCACTGTATGACTCTGACACTATCATTCTGTGCTTCTCAGGAAAGACCAGATGTTCTGGAAGCCCAAGAAGCTCAGCACCCTCATGGTTGGCTGCAATCTGCTATGGCAGTTTTGTCCAGTATATTAATGCTAAACCACATCCAGGAATGAGGCAAATGTGTTGGAAAGTCTTCTCAACCCAGCATCCAGAAGAACCTACAAAAACTGAAGTCAGACACATCCTTCCTCAGAGGCTCCTGAATGACACCAGGTCAAAGCCCCTAGCCTCATCATGGATTTCCAGGCAAACAAGCTCTGACACATCCCTCCAAACTCCTAACTCCTTGCTCTAACCCTAAACCTAACCCTAACTTATACTTCAGAATCATTACCCAAACCCTAACCCCCAATTCAAAACCTAACCCTTAACCCAAATCTTAACCACAAAGATAGCCCAAAGGAAAAAAAGGAAAGATATTCCCTGGTACCTTCTTTCCCTACGCTCTCCAAGTTCCTAAAATTGGAGCTGAAGGTCAGGGTCAAACAGACTGTGAGGAACAGGTAAGAGAGTTAGCAAGTAATAATATGACCCAAAACTCAGGGCTATCCCGGTCCCTCATCCAAAGCCCACAAGGTACCGGCCTGTAGTCTAAGTCAGTTTATTGCCTTTTTATAAGGGAAGCCTGCACAGGAGACCCATGGACATTTTACTCCACTACAGTGGGCATTATAGGGTTTGGTGGAAGGGTGGTAAAGTGAAAGCAACAAGAGGCATCTGGATGAACACAAAGCAAGACAGGGCTCTGTGGCGGGCCCACATCAGGTCTGAACTGCTAGGTGGATCAGGCTCCTACTTCCTGGAAACCATAGTTAGGACAGAGTGCTAAAAGCTCTGTATCAGATAAATTGAGGCATCTTATTGAGATCTCAACTAAAAGAGTCATTAGGATGTTTTGTATCTGCATGGTGGGTGTGGGGTCCCCCCCCAACATTCTGGCTTTATCTGGATCTATCATCTTGGCCTGAGGTGTGACAGGTTGAACAGTGACTTTCCCATACAAATCTGATGTTTGCTTTCACAGAAGCCAATCATGCTAAGATCTATGCAAAAAACAACCCAGGCAAAAAGAATAGCAACTGAGTCTGATTACTTTAGGAGCAGACAGGAAGTAATCAAGGCTAGAACAGCAGGAGAAAGACATCAGAGGCCATCTAAAGCAGGCTTGTGCAATCCCTAATTGGAACCTGTATTGCAGATACAACGAAGTAACTGACTAGAAGTATGATCTGGAATATATGAATGGTCACTCCAGGGAAGGCAATGTGATGAGACGGGGGTAAGGGGGACTTACATCAGGAGTTTAACACAGCAGTCAGGGTCAGAACTACAGTGATAAAATGCAGATTTGAAAAGACAGAGATGACATAAACCACGAAAGCACTGAACATATGGTGTTGGCCAAGAGAACAATCAAGAATGACACAGGTTTTGTGACCTAATCAATTAGACAAGGTATTTATACCACTGAAAAGCAGAAGACAGGGTAACATGGTGTTTCGAACTTACGGAGTTTGAATTGCCCATGGAACACCCATGCAGAGACTGAGTAGACAGCTGGGTTTCAGACGCTATCCACTCTGGGAAGCAAGTTCAGAAATATGAGCAAAGATCAAGCTCAGGTCTCCTAGGTCATCCAGAGACCCCAATTCAATAGTGCAGAGGAACTGAGACTGATGCCTGGAATAGCCAACATTTAGACAGGTATTCTGCTAAGACTCAAATAAGGTATCTATCTGGGTCTATTTGGGGCAAGAAGCTCCTTGGTTCCTAAGAAAATGCACAGGTGGTTCTCTGCTCAGAAATGAAACAACATGGACAAAGGACCACGCCCGGGGGTGAAAACCTGGATCCAGCAGTGTCAGGCCCTATCTCATCCATACCTCTTCTAATACACAGCACACTTTCACTCATTGTCCAATTTTATCAAAAAAGGAGATTTATTAGGGTGATGTGACATAATACATAAAGCACAGGTCTGTGGCACAAACTAGATGAGGCCACTGGTAGGACATCTTTTCAAAAATGAGCCAAATGTACAATTATGTAGCTTCCCCACAAATCCTTATCACCGATGGCTATGGAATCAAATCAATTCAATATTCTTTTTTGATACTGGGGATTAAATCAGAGGCAGTCTTCCACTGAGCTATACCCCAGCCCCGACTCCTTTTCTTTTCTTTTTTCTTTTTTTTTTTGAGGTAGAATCTTTTTTTCTTCTTTAGTATTTATTTTTTAGGTGTAGATGGACACAACACAATGCCTTTATTTTTATGTGGTGCTGAGGATTGAACCCAGGTCCCGCTCATGCTGGGTGAGGGCTCTACCGCTAAGCCACAATCCCAGCCCTGAGGCAGGATCTTTTTAAGTTGCTGAAGCTGGCCTATTGCCTCAGCCTCCCAAGTAGCTGGGATTACAGGCGTATGCCACCACACCCAGCAAGTTCAATAATAACTGAACACTCACTTCAGCTTATCATAGAAGCTAAATGCACCTCTCCTAAATGCACCTCTCTCTCTTCTGGCAGAAGAGATATTTCATTTAGAAAATCTACAAATGGAGTCTTATGCTCATCTGACAGTCTCACACCTGCCCAACAAACTCAGATGCATGGACCAGGCAAGAACCAACCAATCTCATACCTGCTGACAGAGAATTCCTAGAAAGGCACTACAGTCACGACAAACCTTGACAACACCGTGAGGGAGAGAGGACTGTGCCAAGATAGGGGAGAAGCTAAAAGAAATTGAACCTAAACTCTTCATCAGGAATGTCCAGAGTGGCCTTGGCTCTCCCTGCTGGACGAGGTCTGCAGATCCTTTGGCTCTTCTTTCTGAAGGCCTCACCTACAGGCTGCACTTGGGCTGAACGGGCAGCTGTCAATGAAAGGGGAAGCAAAGGGTCAGAACTGAGTAATAGCTCACATTATCTATGCAGTTATGAATCCCACACAATTCCAACTGTTATTAAAATTTACTAATCAGTTTCTCAAAATTATTATATTATCATCACCCCATGTTTAGAATCAGATTCAGTAATCTGACAAATATGTCAAGATCAAGTTGTAGAAACAGGGTTTGAACCAAGGTTACTCAGCCCTAGGAATCATACTCACAATGCTATGGCATCTGGCTTCATGGCCCATAGAGAAAGTCAAAGCAAAGGCAGGTGGGGACACCTTTCCCCACCAAAGGAACAGAACCAGGAGAAGCCAGCCACTTCACTTCCTCCCAACCCCCACAAGATGTACAGACTCCCTGCTCAGGCTTCCCTGAGCCCATCTCCATCCAGGACCAGCCTTTCTGTTCTAGACTTTTTTTTTTTTTTTTAAAGTACTGGGGATTAAATCCAGAGGCTCTCAACTACTAAGCCATATCCCAACCATTTTTTTAAATATTTTTTTTTATTTTGAAACAGGGTCTCACCAAGTTGAAATCCTCCTGCCTCAGCCTCCCAGGCAGCTGAGATTATATGCTTGTACCATTGCACCCAGCATGTTCTGAGGTTCTCCTTTCCACTCCCTAGATAGTTACTCCCTACCCCCTTGAACTAAGTATACTGAACTAACCACTTCCCAAGATACTCACCAGCCCTGAGAGCCCGCAAGGACTCTTGCCACTCGGCCTCCATCTGGGCCCTGTAGTCCCCAAACAAGGAGTGCATCAGCTGCCTCTTTCGAGGCAGGGGAGTTCTTTGACTCTGTAGAGTTCGGATTGCGCCAATGGCCTGCTCTTCTGCAGATAAAAACAAAGGACAAGTGAGTGGGGTTGTGCCTCAGTGATAGAGAGCTTGCCTTGCACATGTGAGGCACCGAGTTCTATCCCCAGCACCACATAAAAATAAATAAAGGTATTGTGCCCATCTACAACTAAAAAAATATTAAAAACACACAAACGACTAGTAACTATGTATGCTCAACTCCTGTTGTCCTATCGCAAAAACAATTACATCCCCTTGCAGAACCACTGTCACTATCACATCCCCCCAACTATATGTGAAGGACCCTCACTCTGTTTTGGGGTAGGTCTCTGCATCTTGAGGCCCAGCTCCAGCTGCTCCACACACCAGGCCAGTTCCCGGGCCAGCTGCTCCGCCTGTGATGAATTGTTACAAGAGGCACTGGGACCCCCCCACCACCACCCCCCGCAAGCCACACCCCACTTCCCGCCAGGCCTTAACCACCCTCGCCCCCAGCAGATCTTGGACCACACCACTCGCAGACTCGCTCCCAGATTCACCGGAGAACCCACCCTTGCCTGGGCCTCGGAGCTTAGGGGAGAGTCCTCTGCGGCAGGCTTCTCGGAGGCCTTCTCGCCTCCATTCGCCACAGAGACCCTGGTCTGGGTTTTCTTCTTCTTTTGCTTCTTCGAGACAGCCACACCTTCATCGCGGACGGGGTGCGCTCCGGAGGCGGCGGCAACGCACGTGGGTTGCGCCCAGTGGAGACCCAAGGCGGAAGGACCCGGGGCATCGGGGCCCCGGCCCGGGAGCTGGGGTTTGCGGGACGCGCGAGCGGCACCAGGTTCCAGGGCTGCTGGCACCCTCCGAGCAGGACGTCCTAGAGCCTGGGGAAAGGGAGGCAGCACGAGAGTCACGGGGCGCCGCCGACCGCCCCGAGCCCCGCCACCCAGGCGTCCCTTCCGCGCCGCTCACCGCCATACGCCGAGCGGCCGCCGAAATTTACATCGGGCCGAGTCCCACGTCGAACTCCGTCCGGGAACCACGCTTGGGACGCAGAGTTCCGCTGCGCGCTCGGAGGTGGGGCGGAGAATTGGGGAAGGGCGGGGCGGGGCGGACTCCCGGGGAGGGGAAGGGTTCCCGGGAGAGGCGGGGCGGCGCCGCCCGCGGGGCTCCGGGAAGGAACCGCGCGACTAGCAGGAGCCTCCTACACCCGTGTTGGCGGGTCTTGCTCGTGTCCCAGGCACGGTTCTAGAGGGCAGCATAAAACTAAAGAGGGACTGGGGCTGGGGCTCAGTGGCAGAGCTCTTGCCTGGCATGTGTGAGGCACTGGGTTCGAGTCTCAGCACCACATATAAATAAGTAAAATAAAGGTCCGTCAACAACTTAAAAAAAAAAGAACTACACAAAGCACACCTCTCAGTGGTGAGGAAAAAAAGTAGGCAAACGAAGTTGGCACAGAGCTACCTCGTGGGTAGGTAGCTTCAGGAGGGTCAATAGACCTTTGGTGGAGAAAAGCGCAGTACAGGACAAAGGCGTGGGCGCGTTGGTGCTGCAGGTGGCATAGTCAGCTCAGGGGAGAGGGAGGGAAGGCCCAGCTCTTGCGGGACGCTGTACACTAGTCAGGAGTTTGCTTTCATTCTAAGGATGGGACAGTCGTTGTGAATCATGGGTGATGTGACCTTACTCAGGTGTGTGCGAAGATCTCTCTGGGAGATGAAAGGGCCAGATGAGGTGGAGAAACACCGAGCAGCCTCAGGACAGAGGAAAGAGCCCAGAGCACTTGCTGGTGGGCTTGGTGTGGCCCTAAGGGAGGCTGGGGAGTAAGTGGAGGAGGCTAGCCCTATCGCACAACCTAACACTGGGCCACCATCTCCGTGGGGCCTCACGATGGAGAGCAAATACCTAAGGGCTTTGGTGAGCTTATTCCAATTCTTTGCCATTATTAGCAATGTCTCCTATGTAAAAGAATTTTTTCTAAAATTTTTGTTACAATTGCGTGAGTTCTGTAGAGCATTCTGGGGAAAATTAAATGTCCTTAATGGTTGAGAGCCACAGTTTAGTCGGAATGACGCCTGGCATTTTGCTAGAGGGAATGGTTGAAAGGTGACCCTGCTCTGGGATTAGGGCGGATCCTGTTGCCTCGGCGCCTGCTACTTTGGAGTCCCCAGTTGAGTCTCCCGGGGTTCTGAGAGAATTGGCACGCTGAGACGGTGGAGGCAGTGTATTCCCGGGAAGTGTGTGTAGAGTGGCGGTGAGAGTTTGGGAATAATGGTTGCTGTTGGAACCTACAAGGCTGGATGTCAGCTCGACTATTTTGTGCCCAGCCAGACTGTGGTACTTAATTAGCTAATTAATTAAATATCCTTTAATAAATAGTGATGATAACTTTATAAAGGTCTTTCACACATTTGGTGGGGGGGGGGTGCTGGGGCTCGAACCCAGGGCCTTGTGCATGTAAGGCAAACACTCTACTAACTGAGCTATATCCCCAGCCCCCTCACACATTTTTTTGTTAATGATTCCTGAATTTGGTTGTTGTTGTTGTTGTTTTTGGGGGGATACCAGGTATTGTACTCAGGGGCACTCAACCACTAAGCCACATCCCCAGCCCAATCTTTGTTTTTTGTTAGAGACAGGGTGCCACTGAGTTACTTAGTGCCTCGCCTTTGCTGAGGCTGGCTTTGAACTCATGATCCTCCTGCCTCAGCCTTCTGAGCTGCTGGGATTACAGGCTTGCACCACCAAGCCCAGCCTGGATTTATTTTTCATTGTTACCAATATTCAAATGTGAACACACATATCTGTATTACTGTGGTATAACAAGAAAAGAATCTGGTCTTTGTCCTGGGTTACTGGCCCACGTTTCCTCCCCAGCCTTCTGTGGCACCTGTCTGAGATTCCATCTCAGGGGAGGCTGAGCTCAGGCTCCCTTACCTCTGGGACTTGAGCTCTGGAGAGCCCATGCTGGGCATCCACCCAACCACTCCTGGACACAGGAGCGCAGGTGGCCTCCCAGATAGGCTCCCAGATTGGAGGCTGAGGCAGTTTGAGGCCAGTCTGGGCAACTCAGGGGGACTGAGTCTCTGAAATACCTAATACAATGTAAATGCTACCTGAAAGGAAAGTGACCACAACACTCGGAGCAACCAAAAGATCTTTATTGCAGCAGTGCAAGAAAGAGAAAGGAAAGAAGGAAAGAGAGAGAGAGAGAGAGAAAGCGCACACAGGAGAGAGACAGAGAAAGCAAGAGAGATAGCAAGAGAGAGGGAGGCCTGGCAGGAGGGAGTTTTTATAGCCCAAATCTAATGGGGCCTCTGAGTCTGCACGCTGCCTTGTTGGCCCAAGAGGGGGTTAAGTGTTCAGCCTTGAGCAGGGTTGAATGTTCAGACTTGAGGCAAACAGGTGATAAAGGACCAGATAGAGGGGGGTTTGAGTGTGTGGGCTATCTTGCAGCCAACATCTGTTCAGCCTGCCCTGCAGACAACACAGTTCAGCCTGCTCTGCACCCAACACTACCTAAGTAGTTATTATACTGTATTATTTAGGGAAGAACAACAACAACAACAAAGGCACATGTTCAATACGGAGGCAATTCTGAAAAAGTTTCAATCAATTTTAATTCACTGTGCAACCTACAGGCATGGAAAGCCAATTCATTCCAATATATTTGCATTTCCAAGCATTTTATACCTTTTGTTTTTATTATGGAGGATATTTCAGTTTTTAATTACGTTATATGGTTGATTATTGCTGGTAGAAAAAAATGATATTGATCTTTTTTAACTTCTGAAGATAAATGACTTTGTCTTTAATAATAATAAAATAAGGCTTTTAAACACACATACACTTTATTCTGGCGCCCAGAGATTTAAGAATGAAGTGTTTATTTTTCATTGCTTATAGCCTGTAATCTTCCAGTTGATGTCTTTTTTATATTTAAAAAGTCAGAGTAAACTTCACAGCTCTTTTTTTTTTTTTTTGGTGAGACTTTGTATTATTTACTCCTAATTTTAGAAGTTGAATATGTCATACTAAAATATTCATATTATTTATGTGAATAATATGAATTCAACAGTATATAATTAATCTTCGTAAATGTTTCACAAAAATGCTCATGAAAATACATTATCTAACCTGGCTTGGCGGCTCACACGTGTAATCCCAGCGACTGGGGAAAGAAGATGGCAAGTATGAGGTCAGCCTCAGCAATTTAGGGAAACCCTCAACTTAGCGAGACCCTGTGGGAGGAAGAGAAGAGTATATACTATCTACTGAACGAATTTGAGTCTTTCCGTTTACTTATGTATTTCTTCCACTTTACGGTTTTGCTTGCGTGCTTTTTCTGTGTCGCCCCCGGTCCTGGGGATTGAACCCGGGCTGCTGCGCATGCCAGGTCCCAGCCATCTGTACGTTGTGATCCAGTCGGATGCAATGCTGGGGGCTTGTGTACTAGTTCTCTCTGCATTTCTGACAGCCACCTTGCTCGGCCCACTCCGACCGCCGACGTCTGCAGCGGCTCCGGGTTCACCCTGGCAGCGTTCCGGTCCAGCGCGGAGTCACCGAGTCTGCTCAACCTCCCGCCGTGCAGAGCGGCTACGCCATCGGGGCGGGGCTTCCGAGGGAAGTTGAGGGCGGGACTCTCAGTCCTCAGAGCCCGGGCTGAGGCGCTGGGTGCCGCGGCCATGCCACCCAGCTGGACGCGCACCCCCCGGGAGGTGAGTTCGCTGGGCGGAGCCTGTGCTTCGGTGTCCCTGGAGTCAGGCGGTGGGCGTGGGAGTGGGGGGATCTAGCGCGGCGCTGGCAGAGGGACCCGGAGGTGCGCGGCCGCGCGGGGGACGGTGGGAGTGCGGGCGCGGGGAAGGGTCGGCTCGGCCTAGTTTAGGGTCCTGGCCTCGGCGGGATCTGAGGGCAGCTTCAGGTAGGGTGTGCCGCGTAAGGCCCAGCGGAGACTGTGCCCGGGAGCCGAGGCGTTTTCGAGTGGCAAGGCGCGCGCGAGCTGGGGCGCAGCGAGAGAAGGTGTGAGGCTGAGCGGTGCCCGGGACTCCCGGGTCGGCCAGGGGCGGGGGGATTGGGGGACTCTCGGTGACGTCAGAGGTGCGCAGGACCCGGACGGGGCGGGATTCGCTCCTCTCCGGGCGGTCTTCCCAGGCGGCCCCTCGGTAAAGGGCGTCCTCTCCAGGTGGAGAGACCTCTGGGGAGGGAGAAGAATTTGGAACTGTGATTGTGGGAGAAGGGACTGGGGAATCGGCCAGGTCCCATCCTGCGGTTCCTGCTGCTAGAGCGTCTCTGCTAAGTGTCAGATTCAGCCTTTAGCCAGGGGAACCCGCTGCCAAGCTCATTCAGGTAGTTGGCAGAATCCGTTGCTTTGTGATTGTCATATACAGGTTCGTCGTTTCTTTGCTGCCTGACAGGCAGAGCAGCCCATGGCTCCTGGAAGGAGCCCGTGTACATCTGCCAGCTAGCTTTGGCTGTGGTTAGATTGGGTCCACCCTGGTAATCCATGCCGTAACCTTAGTTCTTTATGCAAAGTCCCTTGTGCTATATACTGCAGCATATCTACAGGGTCTTGGAAGTAGGATGTGAACATGGGGAAAGAGTGTTCTGCCTAACACAGATTAAGCGCATGTCTAGGGACCATCCCACTGAGAATAAACAGAGAAAAGCAACGTGTAAAATTAGTGCCAGACGAGTTTGGTACCGTTTGTAATTTTTTTAAAACAGGAAAAAAAAAAGTGCATACGTGTATTTGCTTGTGAAGCCTAGAGTAATCTGGAAGGACATTTCAAAGTGGAAAGGAGAACCAAGTGACTGGGACATTTTTAACTTTTTCTTTAAACCTTTTAAATGTTGAGCTATGTGACTCAAAACTCCTATTCAGAACAATGATGAAAATTCAAGGTAATTTAAAATAAAATGTACTGAATAAATGTTGGAGATTATTTAAATTCCCCCATGAATGGGAAGAGTGAAAATTCCTTCCAGGGAATCTGGGCATCTGCTCCCAGGGCAGGCAGACACACCATCACTGACAGTCTTATAACTCCCTCTCAAGTTTCCTGCTGTGCATCTACTGCTGAATGGATGGGAACCTTAGTGT